CCCCCCCCCTTAATATCATTAAAAGGTGTCCCTATACTTAAGTGCATGCCTTAATGCACTCGACGAAAATTGCCCTATTTTGCCTACTCAAGGTGGGGGGAGATAAATAAACTTGCGACGGGGTAACGGTAAAAAAAGGATAGAAGCCAGCAAAATTTGGACTTAATGCAATCTCGATTCATCCAGATGTTATCAAAACTCGATGGGCTTTAATTACTACTCTCACATGCCTAAAAAGGTGTTCTTATTCAATGCTAGCAATAGATAACGAAGACTAAAAACGCAAGCAAGAACAAGGCTAAGTAGGACATACAAATTGACACGACACGTGGCAATCATGTGTGATCGTCACTATCCCACATATTTGCCCATCATTATAAATCGAGGCTCGATCGACTTCTGACCAACGAAGAATCATGTTAGACCACAGCTAACTAAACAAACTAAGTCTGCATTTCTCGCCTTTCATCGAAGCAAAGTGCCCCCCCCCCATGCTAAAACTCTGCATAACTAATATCGTGTATCCAAAACCCAAGTGTTAGAACACGAAGAAGAGTCTGGATGCACCGATGAGCCAGTGGTCAATGTAGAAGTCTGTAAAGAAAACAAGACCATAGAGTTGACAAACTTGTCAAAATAAAGGCAGCGAAAGGACCCAGCATACCTATCTCCGAACTCCCTCATATGCTACAAGTTGCACACTTGTGCAAATGAGAAACAACAACCTGTTTCACGCGACTAAATATTCAAACCCAATAGTTTGAATGACAAGACCAATTCGTACTCAATGGAAATTCAGGAACCAGTAATAANCCCCCCCCCCCCCCCCCCCACCCGAAAATGAACCACATTAATCTTAATAATTTGTCATTACAACTGATGAAAACCGTTAACGGGGAAAAGGAAAGGAAAGGGAAAAACAGCAGAAAACTTACAGTATTTTCAACAGCAGAAGTGAGGGACTTAGCGATTGAACCGAGATTCCACGCACTCCAGCCACTGTCACCAGCAGTCCGATCATTGGTCTCACAATCTGGAGGTAGTTCAGATGCTCTTGGCTCCTCAAAACTAGAGAGATTGGGGAGTTTAATACCACCCACAAAGCTCGCCAGACCACCACCCACGGATTTCACGAGAGCGGAAGCGGCCGAAGCCAGTTCCTGTGGCGTGCTTGAGGGAGAACCACCACCACCACCAAGTGCAGAGAGTTTTGCACGCAAATCCCCCATATTGTCCAAATTTCCTTCAGTGCTAGACTCTTGCTTTAAGGCTTCTGTTTTAGACCAAGGATCGCTCTTCAAGTCCCAGGAATCCAGTTTTTCGCCTTCTTTGGACTGCGATTCGACCCAAGGGTCATCAATCAAATCCCACACATTTTCTTCTTCAGCAGGTACCCAATTCGAAAAATCCTCTTTAACCAGCTTTTGCTGACTTTTAAACTCTTTATCACTAGCTCCCACTTCCTCAGTTGAAGAATCCCCAACTTTTTGAAGAGGGATATTTTGCAATAAATCTGGGTCTTTTTCGACTTCTCTGAAAGGCTCATCCACAATCTCTATGCAAAGATTATCTTCAACATGCCAGGCATCAGTATTTTCGGAATTAATAGGGTTTTCAGAAACTGTTGTCTTTATGGGTGTTTGATCAAATGATTCAGAGGTAAATTTAGATACATCATTAACAATATCCTGACGATCAACTTTTATGGAGATTGGCTGAGTCGCAAGTACCGTGGGAGCGCTTTCAGTCTGCTGAGATGCAACATCTAACTCAATTTTATCTTCAGGATTCAAAACATCTTCAGAAGGCAGGTCCTTTTTCTGCACAGAAGTAGTATCAGTTATCTCTTTTCTAGATTTAAGATGTGAAATTGAGGCTGCTTCATCTTTAGATTCCCGTAGATCCAACCACGGATCGTCTTCTATATCCCATGCGTCTTCTTCAACTATATTAACCGACTTATTAGGAGTTAACTGACTTTTTGAAGTATCTTCAAATTTGGCGATGCTAACCAAATTATCCCCATCTTTACTAACAGATAATGGTTTCCCAATTGAAGTCTTCTTTTGATCTGTTGTAAGTAAATTATCAGGAGAGGATGTTGATGGGGATGACTTGTCCTCAGAAAGATCGCAAACATCACTAGGCTCAGGATTTACAATTGAAGAATCTTCCACAGGCTTGCTGTTTATAGGCTAACATTAAGAAAGATTTATAAAAATCATGAATAGAAATTAATACGATTAATCAATAGTTAAAAGTACCTTGGCGATGGGTGACATTTCAGTGTCGGATCCCTCATCCGCACTAGCAAAGAACTCATCACTACTATCACCCGACATCTAAGTAGAGATTATTTTTGACAGTAAACCAGCAAAAAAGAGAATAAGAAAATACATACTAAAGGGATCCAAATTGTAAACGAATAGATCACAAAATAAAAATGAAAACAAATTAACTTTATCCACAACAATAACATAAGAGACGAACCAAAAAATTTTAGACACAGGATCATAAGCGAAACAAAATAAATTTGAACGATAAAAATGATAAATCTCTAACAACATAAAATTAAAAAAAAACAATAATATAGAAACAATATAAAAGTACTTTTAAGAACATAAAGTAAAGAAGCATTATCTAAGGTCCTAAAATAATTTCCCGTAGGCACTTAAAGATAAAATGGTCGTAAATAAAGTGAAAATAATAAAAATTAAATGTGCAACACTTGAAACGTCGTAAGGCTAAGTGATTCGAAACTTCGCACTATTATATCCAATAGGATTGAAGCCTAGAAAAGGTAAGATCAAATTTGTCTATAAATTAATATCGTTACTAAAAATATCTTTTAAAAGAAACGCCAAAGAATTTGCATCGACTTTTGATTTGTTTGATTATTATTAGTAATTATCATTCGTTTGAATGATGAACAATTCAGTCTGCTCAACTTATGGACATTATTTTTGTTAATCAATCTAAAACATTCTAAACAAGGCGAAGCCGAAAGAAATAATAACTCTTCTTTCAATAATAAAAGTTATTAGTGTTTACACGAACGTTTCTTTATTTATTTATTTATATCAAATGATAGGCGATTTGACATTTATCATTAGCCCTCTAGTTGTCTTCAGGCTTCTCAGAGGGGAAGGAACATCAAAGTGAAAAAAAGTTGAGAGTGGAGGGTGGAATATAAGAGTGTTTCAAAGATGTAATAAAGATGGACACAGAGATAGAAAAAATTTGAGGCGAGTAATGTGGAAGTAGTCAAATATAATACACAGTGCTGTCATGGCGGTTTGAAATCAACTGCCGGTTAATAGACTTTTTACCGTATGAGCATTCGTTGCCCAGGGTGCACCAAGTGAAGGTAAGTCTATCTCACACCCCATGTTTCTTCATTATTCATGAAGTATATCAAAAAATTCAGACACAAGGAGAAAACGGATAGATAAAATTTGTATCTAATGCCTAAAAAATGTTGCATAATCTCTGTCTTTATAATAGATTTAATAGAACCAATTTGATGTATTTTAATCAATGTTGGAAATGCATTCAAATACAATCAATAATTATCCGAATATGATATTTTCAGAGAAAAATTGAATTAGAATTTTCATCAACTAATATTACACGAAAGTATGATTGATAGGCACACGAAAGCCGAAAGTAAGTTCGCTTTAGCTATTATTTTTCATCTATTATTAAATTCTATTTAATTAATAGTCAATTTAATGGAATTGACTAGCAACTCTAACTTAATACCTGTGCAACTTCCCTTTACATAGGTTAGAAAAAGCGTGACCATCTGCAGCTAGTTCATTTAAACTGCAATTCACATTTCACTGCTTTTAGAAGGCTTTCTATTTCTCTTTTAACATCTATGGAAAGTACAATTTCGCTAACATATAAAATTGTTGTTCCATACAAAGAAGGAAAAGTTGGTCGCTTTAAAATGATGCTCCCTTAATTATCCGTGTTTAGATATGATAAATAATTCATTATCATACCGGAAGTTGAATGAGCAAATTTGATTCTTAATTATTTAATATTATTGTTTAATAGTGCATTTTCATTCGGCAAAGGTAGAAACCATGGTAGAAGCCTCCAATTAACCATATATGATATATTATTTCAACAGTATAAGTTATTTGTGGTTTTAAAACAATTTATTAGCTTTCAATATTCAAGACATCAGTTGTGAAATTAGGATAGTTTTGATTCATACATCACTTTTTTCCATCGCCCACTGAAAACATCTAGAAGCTAGAATTTTTGCCTAGGTATTGTGACTAAGTGTTTATGTGTCTCGATTATGCTGATAGGTTGACATATTCTCAGGAGCATACTAAAATTTAAAGTTCTTATGAGAAGAGTTTAATTGCTTCGAACAGATACTGAAACTCGTAAGTTTTTATGTTTCTTTCAATGCTTATTGTACTTTGCATGTACTTTGAAGCAGCTTAATCTTTATAAATAATTTATATACTCCGCACAAAATAATGTCTTTGCAATTTCAACATAATTACATTTAATCTTTTAAATAATTTTTTCATTGGTAACTATCCCAACAACAATTTTAATGAATAAAATTGAATAATCATCTCATTAGCTGCAATATCAATTTTAGTTCCTTTGAACTAAATCGTAAGTTATAATTGGCTGGATTCTAATTAATTGCATTGGCTGGAAGTTTTATTTGACCTTGTCTACGTTTATTACCTCACGATGTCTTGCTTCTCTGAGCGCGTCTCCAATTATCCTCTTGTGAATGATTCACTGAAAGCTGCATCGAACGCCTATAATTGGGTTTCCAGTATTGATCGCTTGCGCAACATTTTCCAGCTTACAGAGAGTGCTGCATCAATTTTGAAGGAGAAAGCCGCTTCAGTCGCTAATACAGGTATTTTAAAAGAATACCGTTGTATTTTTTATTTCGAAAGATAAAAGCATTGTCTAAACATATTTATGCAATATTTTTGTTTTTATTTTCAATAGATTGTGTCACAAAACTTGATGAGATGGCTTGCCATCACATTCTGGATCGCTTTGAGGCTATTTGTCCTTCTGTGAAGAAGCCGACTGAAGATTTGATCGGCCCAACAGTTGATCGTATTCTTGAGGTTGCCGAGAATCATTTTGAAACCTTTCTTCCAGAAACAAAGGCTAAAATTGTTGGATATTTATATTATTTAAAATTCATTTTATTGATCGATTGAACATCTTATATCATTTTCAGGAGGGAGAACCGGCGGCTACACGTTATGAGCGTTTAATGCGCCTACAAAAGGCTCTGGCTTGTACGGAGAAAGTTCAAGCTGCTCATGAGACGATTACCAATACATACAAACGTATTCAGGATCAAATTGTCTCTCTCTCAACGGTTGCCACCAGAGAACGTAGAGATGCTCTTCTCTCGTCAATAAGCACTCTCGCTACTGAGTACAAACAGAGTGCTGAAGTTGTCTATCCTCGTTTCAAATCTTTCGTCGCTGGCGCCGTCTCCCAACTCCAAACCTACACTCACGACCTCAGTCAAATGAAGGTAATTCTTTATGCTGAACCTTTAATGCTTATCGGAAAGCCTTTTATTGGGTCAGTTACTGTTTATGTAAAGGCTATATCTGGTTCCTAAAATTTGGCTTACTTGTACCTTGTTTCTCTACCACAGTGCTTTTTTCATAAACTGTCAAGTTATTGTCGTCTTGATGCGCATTTATCAATTCCCTTTAACTATGATACTCTTCTAGTTTATAATATTTCTACATAATTATTCACTTGGTGCAATTATATCAGCTTATAGGGTGGTTGGGTGGGGCGGGGC